GTAAACCCCCCATTGGCTGGCAAGGGAGGTTGATTGATGTGAATAGAAAGAGGCATTTAATGCCCCTCAAAAAACGGAATGACGGTTGAGCTAGGGTTAGCCCAAGCGGCGCGTCTAGGCATGCGAAAGGTTAGAGTGACCCGGCCTGACGAATCACAGGGCCAATCTAACCATGAGACAGAGGCATTTGGGTCGTCCGAATGGTTGTCTACTCGGACAGCGAGGCCATCCGTAGGTAAGTTGTAAGATCGCCCGAGTGCATAGTCGGCGCTGACAGCCCGATTTCAGTATTCTTTGAAGCAAACGTTGGGCCGACTCGACACGGTGGGAGTTGGGCCCTAGACTCAGACTCGTCGTCGACCCTGCTTATCAGTCGGACAAAAGAGCCCGTTCACCCTCAGTGGGGGGGGGGGTCTGGTAAAGGGGAAGTTATTGAGAAACATCACAAAGCAAAAAATTCTTTCTACGAAAACAGAAAAAGTAAGGCAAGAATATTTATTGATTAGAGCAAACGAGCCTACATCACAGACACAGCCCTCGTACAAACTAAGAAACATAAAAGTAGGGTCACGGGTTAGCCTTCTCCTCAGACGGACAAGCAGGAGGAGGTGGGCCTTCTAGAAACAGTCGAGGTTGGAAAGGAGCCGGAGCCGGAGCCGGAGCCTGGTCCGGTATGTCATTCACGTAAACCGACGGCTCCCCGTCATCAATCATTTGGAGAGACCTTTACAGAGCACTGGGGGACATGGCCACCCCGAAAAGATGAGGAACTTCACATACCTCCTCCTCGTCCAATGGTGGTTCGCTTATTACCGGATCCACTCGCCGGTTGGCCGAATCCACTCGAACTACGTCTAGTACATCCAGGGAAACCACGATGGGATTTGAGCCGGAGTCGCCCACCAAGTGGCCGCCATGTGCTAGCCTCCGCTGCCTCAGTTCTTCCAGCCGAGCCTGCTCTTTCAAGCGAATAGAGGAACGCCGTTCACCATCCCTGTAGCTCATATCGAAGGAAAAGAGAGGATAACGGTTGCAAGTGGTACCATGAAAAAAGTGAGAAAGATAAGGGAAGAAAAACCCTATTTATAGCTAGGCCAGGCGAGTTTTTTGGAGCAAATCGCGGGGAGAATCAAAACTGCCATCACTTGACAGAAACGTAGGGAATAGACAAAAGTCAGGAATCTATGTCAGTGAAAGATCCCATCAATCTCGCTTGGGCAGGGCAAGATTCCTGTCAAGACCTTAAAAGCAAATCTCCCTTAGATATGGGAGGATCGCAAGTGTCAGACCTCGGGTGGCACGAGGACCGACCGATAAGTCGGAAAGGTAACAGGCATAGTCGTATACTCGAAAGATAAAGAGGAAGACGTAAAGGCTAAAGACAATTCGTGTATTTTATTAAGAAACAAAGGGGGGGTCTAGTACATTGAGAAAAGGGGGGAACTTTATTTATGCTAAAGTAAATCCCCCCCCCCCACAATCATTCATTCGTTTTCACTCAGCACCACACTCAGTCGCTCAGGAGCCTCAGGCGGCGCGACTCACTTCTCCGGCGAAGATGGCTCATCCAGAAAAGTCATCTCGTCCGATGAACCAGAACCAACAGGAGAAGGGCAGACAGTGTCCCATAAGGCCCGCATTAGAGGTGGGACCACAGGTGCCTCATCATCCGAATACAGCTCCAGGTAGCGTGCATAGTCGGCCTCCGACATCAGGTCAGAAGCCGGCCCTTCAGGATTGTGCAGCGGGATGGTAAAGGTCAGCGGGATGGAAAGCCAGTTGTTCCGGGACGGCAACCTCTACGAAAGTCCCATCCTCGGCTGTCACACGAGCCGTGGTTTGGAGAGGAGAAGGGTCAGCAGTCGAAAGAGTTGGGTCAGCGGCCGGAGGTGGAGCCTCGGTCGTCATTCGGGAACCCGACGAAGTGGATCCCGTGGAATGCTTGCGAGAGGCAGGTTTGAGGGCCTTCCTTTTCCCTTTTTCAGACTTTGACCGCTTGGCCGGAGAGGAGTGAGACGCCAACCTAAAGACGATTTCCTTCCCCTTCATTGGTGGACGGCCCATGCTAGCAAGAAAGATGAGGAAAGACAAAGGTAGAGATGTTATTTATAGGCTCGAGGAGCAAAGGGAAGAGTTAAAGCGAATCAGGAGAATCAGGAAAATCACGGAGGATCCGGCCACGATCCGTCCATTGAAGAGAGAATATTGAGCAGTGATTCCGGTGATCTACAGTAAAAGGACGGATACTTTTCAATATTCGAGTTGAGAAAGGGACTCAATATTGGAAAGTGAGGGACTAGTTGATGGGGTGTGAACCCCGTGGGCTCGGGGCCCAAAAAGGACGAAGAGATGCCCAAGAGGAAGATAGGCCCAAGAAGAAAGAGGACCAAGTCCAGAAGAGGAAACAGCCCAGAGGCAGAGGTTAGAAGCAGGAGGTCGGCTCGAGCCCGAGCTCGGCGCGAATAGGCGGGCGGCACGAAGATAGCCGTTGGAACATTAAAGGGGCCATTTAAGAGGCCCGGTCAGCAAACCGTTGGGAGGCCCAGTAACGGCAGCCCAACGGCCCTTAGAGTTAATAGGGCGATTTATGGCCTTAAATGTGTATTTTTGAATGAGTCCGAGGAGACCCACTATAAAAGGGGACTCCTCAAGAATGTAAAGGGGGACGACAAGTTCGGGCCAAGAGTATACACACACTTATAAGAGCTATTACTTTCCCTTCTATTTTTGAAAGGTAAATCCACCAACCAAGGTTGTGTTGGACCTCCCTGGGCCCAAAAACCCTAAAACTAACAAATATAATTACATAAATCATATTACATATCGATTTTTAAAGATAATTGCGACAAAACGAATCATATATTATTCAATTAATTGAGTGATACTTTTGCACTAATCTTATAATCAAATAAATGTACACTTTCAAATATTAGAATCGTTTATAATTTCATCTTTAATTTTATTATCTAAATATAAAATTAAAAGAATTTACCCTTGCATCGTACGGGTAATTGGGCAATTATTTGCTCGAATTCAAGAAAGGATAACATCAAAAAACATAATCGATCCAATCCATTTCGTCAATTGCACTATATAATATTTTTGTTATAATTTATAATTTTATATAATTGTATATCGATCTAAATATTCTTTAAATTTTATAACAAATTCATTCCGTGTAACGCACGGGTGAAAATACTAGTGTATATAATAAAGAAACTGTGTATTAATATTTATATAAAGATACAATTAATTGTATTAATTAATACTTGTAATACATGTAATATAAATAAATTATATATATAATGCTTGTGAATGATTTAAATAAATATAGTTCTAGTTGGTTTCAATAGTGTTAAATTAAGTGAAAGGTCAAGCGTTTTAGTCTTGTTATTAATAACATTTTAAAATATTAATAGAATATCCAATTACACAACAAATTAAAGGGTGAGGACATGGATTGGATTAGAAATTCGGGCCAACTCGACGGGTTGGATCTGTTTTGATAGCTATACCTACTTGACCCATTTTTCTTTTATTTATTTATTTAATTTTACAGTTATGGAAGGCAAAGCATCTTTCTTATCCTAGTTTGGGGACAATAGAAGGGAGTGCCACCTGGTAGTTGCTTGGAACTGTAATGTTACTTCAGGCCAAACCTGCTTGTCCTTGCAGTCACAAGCTGGTGGACCGTTATACAAGAGTGCATGCACCCACAATAATACAGAGATTGATAGAGACATGCATATATAGAGAATAACATGTGTATATGTAAGTCCTTAATTGGGTTGTGGCATCTTACATTTGTTATGCTTCATTATTCCCCCCAATAAATTTCATTATCTTTTAAGATTGGATTATTGTTGTGTAGATTTCTAGGTTTGTACCATATCTTAATTAAATCCCATATGGTTTAATGCATTGCCCACTTAAATAATCACATATACTTTTAAGAAATGTATTGAGTGATAGTTTGGATAAGATGGAGTTACAGCTCAGGATTTCATCCTTAAACAAATCTATAACCAATAAATTTTATATTTCATTAAAAAATATTCTGTACTATTTTATGCCATGAATTTATAATATCACTGGATAAAAAAAAAAAAAAATTAAACTACCAAGATAACCTCAATCAAATTAGTCAAATTATTAACTTGATAACCACAATGTTTCAAGTTGACTTCTCACGGAAGTGGTTTATTGCTTTTTATGATTAAAAAAAAAAAAATTGAAAGTTATTTTTTTTTTTTTTACGATTCAATTTGAGTTATGATGTTAAATAATTTGACTTCTATTCGGAGTTTCAGAAGAAAATTTAACTACTCGCACGAGTTAGCTTAATGGTTTACGAAGTAGTATTTAAGAGAAAAGACTAAGGTTTGAATTTTGGTGGCGGTTATGAGAGAATTATGCTCAAAGTTAGATAATATTTCAGATAAGAGATCAAGATTTAACTAAACTTCTGACAGTATGAAGATTATGTGCAAAACTAAACTTCTGACAGTATGAAGATTATGTGCAAAGTGAACAAATTCCCTGCGTGTTGAACTATTAAATCACCCTCATTTACATCTATTGGGCACTTGAGCCAAGATGTGGGTCTCTAGGGTCGGAGATTCAATTTTGGGAGAAGAAAAAGAAAACTTAGCTCGGAAGGGTTTAGATTTAAAAGTCAATCTTTACTTTTAGACTATATTAGTATCTTGGTGCTATTAATTTTGACAATATTATTTATATTAAATTTTATCTAATAATATTGCAATTACTTGTACAAAAAAATCTGAAAAAGCCACCATGTGACGTAAGAAATATATATAATTTCTTTCATTTCTCTCCAAAATGTGCAGATTACGTTCATGTAATCCGCTTTCTACTACGAAATTCAGTTCCGAGATGAACATAAATTAAAAAAAAGGAAAACAAAAAAGAAAGTAAAAATCCGGAGCGGTAAAATTTGGAGTGAAATTGTAAAAATTATCTAGGGAGTTAAAGGTTGGTTAATCCTGGAAGCCGGTTTTCTCCCAGATAGCGTTGCGAACCTTACTGAGATCTCTCCCTTTGAGGGTGCGGCCGACGCCTTCGTGCACCGAGAAGGAGGCGATTCGAGTCCTCGCCAACTGCCGCGCGAGGAACTCGTGCGGCGGAACCCTATCGTCGCCGTACTTCTCCTCCAAGTCCTCCTCGTAACTGTCGCGCCGGCGATTCTCCCTGTACTCCTCCTTCAGAATCTTCGACCAGTCGGGGACGTTCACCGGCAGGGACGCCGGCACGCGGTCGCCGGAGGACTGTTTCCTCGAGACGCGGGCGCTCGCCACCGCCTTCCGGCACTCCGGCGAGGCAACGCGCGGCTCCGCGCTCCAAACCTCCGACTCGTCGAGCTCGAACACCGAGTCGCCGGCCGCCGCCGCAGGCGCGTCGCGATCACTCGACAGGAACCGGTAGTTTCCCCTCGCGAAATAGCTCTTCGAAGCCGCCATTACGAATCGCCGCCGGTGGTGGTTGCCGCCTCGAGATTCGATGTCTGATCTCTGCTCCCCCTCCCCCTCGTATGAATTTTCGGGCGTACGATGATGTTTGGTACAGCGTATGGACTCTTTCTCTCTCTACAAACACTGACTCTCACACACTCTCTCTCCAACATATATATACAGATATGTGTATGTAAATACCTTGGGCTGCTCTCCGCTGGAGATTTGATCTGCTTTTATAAAGACTTGGTTGGATAAGGTTCCGTTTCTCTCTCTAAACTGTCCTGTAACTTAGACCATGTGAAATCACCACTTTACCCCTGTGAAATCACCACGAAACGACGTACCGCCGGGCGTCATTCCACGTGAACTGTACAATTTTAAGGGAATAATGTGATATGTTACATAATCTTAAAAATTGTTTTGGATGACGTTGTTGTACATATATTTTATATTTAAATAAATTTGTGATTTGTGATTTCTTTTAACTTAAGACAAGGTACGATTTTCAATAACCATATAGGACATTATTAATTAATAAATTATTATTAACTATTTACTAAAATGCATCTAAAAAGAGATCTCAAAAAAAGTTAAGGTGTGATATTAAGTGAAATGAGAAAAGTAATAATTTTCATTCTTAGTACACCCAACAATTATAATTTTTTTTTTCTTAGTACACCCAACAATTATAATTTTTTTTTCATTTTATTTGTTTCAATCAATTAGTAATAATCTACTTACATAAAAGTAAAAGTTATAAAATGTGTTTTTATTTTATTGGAAGCAAAAAAAAAAAATGATGATATATTGGTAATTGAGCCCCATCAAGATCAGTGTGGCAAATTATACCATGGATTATGGTCTAAATTGCATTATAGATTCTAGTCCAAAATAATTTTTAAATTATATGTGATGTAGACATATTATGTATCTATAGTTAACAATTTATGCATTAAAAATAAATTAAAGACACATAATATATTAATTAGAGACACATAACATTATTAATATGGTAACTACATAAACATAATACGTTAACTGCAGAACATAATATTTTAATAACATATTATGTGAATAGAGTTAATACGTTCTCTTCAAATATAGTCACAATATGATAGAATTAAAGCTAGTAGTGATGGGGTCAAGCTAGATTATATAGGTTGATTATTCAAAGTTAAACAACATCATATCATCATCTTTATGTTAGCATGATCACATCATGTCAACACAATAACATCAACAAAAATCTTACCCGAACTAAATCTTCAAAAACATGCTATTTGGTTAACCTTCTCACATCATGTCATCATTGCTTCTAACATTTTGATTTCGCTTAGTTTATTAAAGTTGTTGCCGTATGTGGAGCAATAGAGGTAATTTTATGAGGAAATTGTATTTTACTCCCAAAATATCATTACAATGGGTGAGAAGTCTTATTTAAAACTCATTCTTCGCAACAAGGTAAAAAATTTTGCCACAAATATTGAGAGATTGAGTTTAGGTTGGTTTCTTAGTGTGCAAAGTGTATATTTTGGTATCAGGTCGGGTTGGACATCTAATGCGCATAAGTCTCCAGTTTGGTGCTGCATCTCGAAACTAGATTGACTCGATTTACCTCTTCAATTTGTGGGCTTAGAGGTGAGTTTATAGGGCTCAAGATTTAGGGTGTGTTTGGTTCGCACATGGGAATCAGAATTGAAATGAGAATCAAATACTCCGTACTTAGTAATAGTATGAGTTTTGGTGAAAGTATTTTGCATGTTTGGTAATAGGGTGGAATTGGAATGATTACCAATATTGATGTTTGGCTATGTATGACCCTATAATGGGAATAAAGGTTTTAAAAATACAAAAAAAAAAAAAAAAAAAAAAAAAAAAAAGATAATTGATCCTAATATAATGACATCCAAAACACCAATATAAACAAAAAAAAAAATCAAAATAAAAATCTAAAAGTATTAATCCAAACTTAAAAATCATATTACCAATAAGGTGAAATGATACATCTTTTAATTTGAAAATTGAGTTTTTAATTGATCAAATCTCATAGTTGTGTTTTAAAAAGTTGTCAACCAAACATTAACAATGGCTTTGATTCTCATTCCGTGTGTAAACCCATGAACCAAACACACCATTAATTTATCCAAGCAAAGAAATATGAATTATTATTATTATTATTATTATTATTATTATTATTATTATTATATATATATATATATATATATATATATATATATAAATGAAATTGTATTTTTGAAAAAGAAAAGATAAAGAAGAAAAGGTTAAAAACAAAAAAGAGATGGAATTAAGATCTTGACTAATCACTTTTCCCTGCATGCAAATATGAACATTTGACTACAATCAAACGCGTGAGTGTAAAGAGGGCGGTAATTTCCTAAAAGAGCGACAGAAAGAGTGTTGGTTTCCCTTCGACACTTCGGAAACAAGGAGGGGCATTTTGGGGAACCGAAACTTTTGTCTCTTTGGGCGAGAGCAGTGGCCGCTGCCATTCCGATTTGTCGCGACGCGGATGCGTTGGGTGGAGGCTCAGCAGGTGAGAGAGTTTTTCCAGTTTTGGCCCCCGGACTTCAGATCATTTTTATATTTAGTTTCTAATTTCGGAGTATTAATTTTTTTATATTTAGTTCCACGGTTTTTTAAATTTTGTCACATCTGATCTAATTTTTAGTTGTTAGTGACCAAATTTTTTATTAAAAAATGTTATAGAAAAGAGAAAATGACATTTTTTTTCATGGGTTATATACTTATAGCATTTTTTTCTCCTTGAATTATTTAAGTGACAGTTTATTCTCATGATATATTAAATAGACATATTTACCCTTAAAATAAATCTTTTATTTATTTTTTTTTCTCCGAAAAATTATAACCACGATATGGTTCAAACTGAACAGACACTATAGCAACCAAACAGAAAAGTTATGATGACAATTTAGAATCGGAACCCGATATTTAGAGTTTATTAAAATCGTGAATCGAAACTGCCAGTTCATGTTCTGAATTGAAAAAATAAAATATATTAATTATTGAATTTAGAATATTTTAAAAATAAAATAATAAAATTTTAAAAGAAAATTTGAACCAATAGTTCAAATTGGATCCGAAACTGTGAACCGACGGTTCAAAATAAAAACTAAATCGTGTTATATATACTTATATGTGAGAGTCAGTTTAAATGCAAATACATATATATATATATATATATATATATATATATATATATATATATATATATATACACTATTTGCTAATATTATAATTATTATAATTTTAAACTAATGCTAGTAGTTGTTCCGATTTGAACCTCCGGTTCACGGTTTAGGATCCATTTGTTTTCTAGTTCACGATTTTAATAAACGGAAACCCAAACATTGAGTTCTGGTTCTGAATCATAACCGAAAAATTTCGATTTGATTGCTATAGTGTCCGGTTCAATTCGAACCGAGTCGTGGTCATCCCTACCTATAAGCAATAATTTGTTGAAGAAGTGAAATAAATAAAATATTTAGTTTAAGGGTAAAAATGTCCATTTAATATATCGACGGTCCACCACTTTTATAATAATTGAGGGGCCAAATGTGGATGCATGAATAACTAAGGAAAAAAAATGTTATGAGCATATAACTCAGGGGGGAAAATCTCATTTTCTATATAGAAAATATAATTTTGTCTTTTAAAATAAGTCACTTAACTATTATGTATTCATGTTTAATAATATAAAGATATAAAATTAGTCATTGATAATTGAAAATTAAATAAGATGATTAAATGAGCTGGACATGGAAAATGAATACAAGAAACTACATGTATCCCCAGTTAGAACCAGGGCTCAATCTCAGAATATGAATGCTGGTCAGGAGCAGATTCAACCTCAAAAATCTGCTAAGAGAGGCAAAAAGGCCTCTCCCAAAAAGAAAAGATGAAAGTTTTATGTTGGAATGTGAGGGGAGTTGCCTCCCAAGGCTCCCTTCACAGAATAAGGAACTTGGTGAGAACTTTTAAACCAGGGATAGTCTGCTTAATAGAGCCTTTTAAAGAGTTATCTGAGATTGGCCACTGGGCAGTTATGCTTGGTTTTGAAAACAGATTTTGTGGGTCTGATAAGACTTGGGTATTCTGGGACAGAGGAGTGACATTGATCTCTATAGAAATAGGAGACCAGCTGATAAATTTGGAAGCCACAGTGCCTGAAATTGGAAACTTTAACATATCATTCATATATGCAAAATGTGATAGAAGTATCAGGTTGAATTTGTGGGAACAGATAGAGAGCATGGCAGAGGGTCCTATGAAGGATCAGAAATGGAGTCTCATAGGGGACTTTAATTGCATCTTGAAAAGTGAAGAAAAGAGAGGGGGCCAGCCTTATAGTATGTGGAAGAGTAGAGATTTTCAGAATTGTGTTGATTCTGCAAGGCTGAGGGAAGTGGTGTTCTATGGTAATCCATTTACATGGTGGAATGGTAGGAGGGGCGAACAAGCAGTGTGGGAAAGATTGGATAGGGGATTTGTGAATGAGAATTGGGAAGGAAGCTTGAAAACACACATACATCATTATGCAAAGTTAACTTCAGATCACTCCCCTTTAATAATGAGTGTAGAGCCCCAAGTCAGGATGAGTAGAAGGCCTTTTTCCTTTTTGAACTCTTGGGGAGAGCATGAACAATTCCTAGGGATAGTGAGGGAAGCATGGCAGGAGAGAGTCAATGGAAATGAAATGTATACATTTATGACTAAGCTTAAGAGAGTGAAAGAGGTTTTAAAGAAGTGGAATTGGGAGACTTTTGGTAATATATTTAAGAAGGTGGAGGAGTTGGAGGGTAAGATGAGGGAGCTGGAGGAAAAATTGCAGGAAAGGCCAACAGATGAGACTTTATTGGAATATAAGAGGGTGCAAGCACTATTACAAAGGCAAGTGAGGATGGAGGAGAGTTACTGGCAACAGAAAGCACACTCTCAATGGGTAGTAGAAGGGGAGAGAAATTCAAAATACTTCCAAGGGCTGGTGAGGGAGAGGAGGTCGAGACAAATAATTCATAAAATAATGAGTGATGAAGGTGTTTGGGTGGAAGACCAGGGCAAAATAGCTGGAATGGCTGTTGAATTCTTTCAGCAGCTATTCACAGCAGAAGCAACTAACCTTGATCCTTCAATTTTTGACTGTTTGCAGGTGGTGGTAACAGAACAGGAGAATCAAGCCTTGGTAGCTGAACCCTCCATGGAAGAAGTTAGGTCTAGTGTGTTTAGCATGAATGCAAACAGTGCAGCTGGACCTGATGGATTTGGAGGGGGCTTTTACCAACTCTGTTGGGAGATCATAAAGGAAGACCTGCTGAAAATGGTAAGAAGCTTTTTTGCTGGTAAGAGCCTAACCAAGGCAATTACCAGCACTTCAATAGTGTTGATACCCAAAGTGTCCAACCCTGCCAACTTTGGTGAATATAGACCAATCAGTTTAAGTAATTTCTGTAGCAAGATTATTACAAAGATCATGGTCTTAAGGTTGGCAGGGGTGTTGAATAGAGTCATCTCCCCAGTCCAAGCAGGATTTGTTAAAGGCAGAAGCATAACTGATAATATTTTGTTGGCACAAGAAATTTGCCATGGAATGAAAGCTTCAAATGAAGATATAGTTTTAAAACTTGACATGGCGAAAGCCTATGATAGAATGGACTGGGGATGCATTGCCTTGGTCTTAACCAGACTCGGCTTTTGTAAAAAGTGGATTGATCTGGTCCTGAACTCCATAAATAACATATGGTACTCTGTGATTGTTAATGGGGAGGCAAGGGGCTTCTTTCATTCCTCTAGAGGATTGAGGCAAGGAGACCCCTTATCTCCCAGCTTGTTTATTTTGGCTGCTGAGCTTTTTTCCAGGTTACTCAGTCAGAAGAGGGCTCTGTTCTCCCAACCTATTGGAGGTCCATTTATCAACCACCTAGCCTTTGCAGATGATATGGTGATATTTACCTCAGGAAAGGAGGGGGGAGTGGAGGAAGTTATAGAGGTGGTGGAACATATGAAGCTCAGTCTGGACAACTTATCAATAGACAAAAGAGTGCATTTTATATGCAAGCAAAGGCCACACTGGAATCCATTGAGAGAGTGAGGGAAATCACTGGTTGCCAGTTTAAAAGTTTCCCTTTTACTTACTTGGGGTGCCCCATATATCAAGGAAGGAAAAAGACTACACTGTTTGATGGTCTAACTGATAGAGTGGCTAACAGATGTAAAGGGTGGCAGGCTAGAATTTTATCTCAAGGAGGAAAAGCAGTGCTGATCAAGACAATTCTTCAAGCTATGCCCACTCATATGTTCTATGCCATAAGCCCACCCAAGGCAGTGATAAAACAAATTGAGAGTTTGTTGGCTGATTTCTTTTGGGGAAAAGCTGAGGGGAAGAAAAAATACCACTGGGGGTCCTGGAAGACATTGGCAAGGCCAACAGAAGAGGGAGGAGTTGGATTCCAAAGAATGCAAGAGCTGGTAGATGCTGCAAGTGTGAAGTTATGGTGGAACTTTAGGAAGGGGAATTCTCTATGGAGTCAGTTTTTAATTGCTAAGTATTGCAAGGAAACACACCCAGTGGTGAGAGGCTGGCAATATAATGATTCACATGTATGGAAAAGAATGGTGCAAATCAGAGATATAGCAGAGCCCCAAATTGCATGGAGGATAGGGGAAGGGAAAGTGAATGTGTGGTGGGATAACTAGTCAGGCAAAGGAGCAATGGCAGGGATTCTGGGCATAAGGGGAAAGACGAAAGCAAGGGACAACTTGAGAGATGTGGTAAGAGGGAATGCTGTGGATCTGCAAAGGCTAGGGGTTCAGGATCAAAGCTGGAATGTACCTGTGAACTTGATACAGAACAGAGTGGATGAGATTAGATGGAAGCCAACAGGAGGGGACTTCAGCTTCAAATCAGCCAAGCAGCTTGTAAGGGGAAGTGGAGGACAGCAGGAGAGTGGCTTGTGGAAAAGAAGGGTGTGGGCAAAAGGTATTCCATGGAAATTTTCCTTCCTGGCCTGGAGAGTTTTCAAAAAGAGGTTACCAGTGGATGATGTCTTGAGGAAAATGGGATTCCAAACAGCTTCAAGATGTCATTGCTGTGTTCAACACGGCTGTGATGATTTGCAACACATCTTTGGGGCAGGAGAAACAGCAAGTAGAGTGTGGGAGTACTTCTCCAGCTCAATGGGCATTCAATTAAAGGTGAGAACAGAAAGACATTTATGCTATGAATGGTGGAAATTTAAGTTCAGGAATAGAATGATGCAGTTTATAGCCCAGAGAATGCCCACCCTCGTTTTGTGGGAACTTTGGGTTAATTATGCAGCTTGTAAGTATGGGGGAGGAAAGCCATCTGTGGCAAGGGTGATCCACAAGGTGACAAGAGATATGGTGGAATGTATACAAAGGAAATGGCCACACTGGGACCCATTGCCACCCAATTGGAGAACTGTCATGGAAAAAGCTGAATCTTTTAGGTGTGAAAGGGTGGTTCAGAGATCTTGCTGGTGCAGGCCTGAGCCAGGTGCTGTAAAAATGAACTGGGCTGTGGATGGGGAAGGGAAATCTTGTTCTTTCTTTATGAGAAACTCCAAAGGGCACTTCTGCCTAGCTGGGGTTTACTCTGTGAGGGAAGGCCAAGACATTGAGGATTTGATAGAAGGAATGTTGAGATTCTGTTGGGAATGGTGTAAGACACAAAAGCTGGTTAGGGTCATATTTGAGTCAAATGATTGGAGAGGGCACAATTTGGATTGCCTTAATGTTTTCCAAGGACAGAAAATAAAGCTGGGGACCTGCATAGAGAGGGTGAACTGTGTGGCTACTAGCTTAGCAAACAGCTGCAGGGGCCTCAACATTGTTTTTAGGAAAGTGGAGGGACTACCAAGGGGCTTGAGATTGATCCTTAGCCTTGAGGGGGTTCCCCATTTTGTTTTTGTGCCTGGGATTGATCAGATCAGATGATAAATATGCAGTGGTTGGGGTCCAGAACCTGGGATCCTGGTATTGTGGGGACCCTGATCAAGGGACCAGAGTTGTGAGGGGGCCAGCTGGTGATCTCTGCATAGATGTGAGGCTGGATTCCACTTTTGTTAAGAGAAGACCAAGGAGGATGGCTCTTGGCCCTTGAAAGAAACTGAGGGTGGAAGGGGGAAACAAGGAAGGAAAGTGTTGCTGTTCAAGGAGTGAGGGTGGTATAAGGAATGAGTTATGTGAGCTCTCTTTGACTGAGACTGGCTCTGGGAAAGGGATTAGCTGATGATCCTTGCTAGGCATAGCATGTGTGAGGCTTTTGCTCTCCTGAAGCATAAAGAAAAGGGGAGAGGGTGGGGGAACTGCTCTATGAAGGTTTCTGAGAATGGCTCTGCCCACAACTCTGCTCATAAGCCAAAATAAATAAGGGAGAGATCTTTGTTGTAACCCCAATGAGGGATGGTAATCGTGAGGGGTGTAACAGATATCTCTCAACCTAAAGATGGACCAATCCAAATCAGGTTGGCCCAGAGATAACAAGAGAGGGGAAAGGGTCAGTGAAGCTGAAAAGCTTAGGCCTTCTCTACCCGAAAGTCTGATGAGCAAATGGTCCTCCACCATCCAAGGCAGAGGATGGTGGTTGGACATATGATAAGCTAAGGGGAATGGGCTGATGAAGTTATAGCTGAGGCTCATTCTGCCTTAGTTTTAAGAGTAGACTGCTGCTGCACTGGCATTTATGTGGGCCTATAATCGGCCATGCAGGTGAACCATGAATGGCTTATGATGCAACTGAGAGTTGTTGAGGTCAGTTCCCCATACTGGAAGGTTAGGGAGTATGAATCTATGAGGCTAGCTAGCGGAGATTCACCCTCCCTTTGGCCCGATGATGGGTTGCTAGCTGGGCAGCTTCTGAGGGCATCAGCTTGTGTTGGGAACTGGCAGTTGAACACTGTGCAGATGTTGTTTGGTGGATCTACATTAATGTAGAGATGAAGCCATTAACTTTTTTTGCAGGTAGGTGGAAGCTTGAAGAAGAAGACCCCCTTGTGTACTTTGCTATAAGAGCTCCCGACCCCCTTTTGTGTGGATATCTTGTATCTTAGGGCAAAAACTGACTTTAGAAGAGATTCTTAGGTGGTTTTAGCCTTGGAAGCCCATTCTGGCTTGTGTTATGAATGGGGGGTCTTGATAGGCTCCAAGTATGGCATACACTCGGAGTTGGGAGTGCTTTTAGCTTGAGGGGATCCATAGGTTTAAAAGAAAATGAGAGAAATGTAAGGAAATTTGGAGGAGGGCGAAACAAGGGGAAAATGAGGAAAAGGCAAGAAAAGAAGTGGATTTGAAAAAGCAAAAGAAAAGGAATTTTGATAAAAAATGAGAAGGGATGGGTGAGATGGTGGATACCCATTGCTTAGGTCGGGGCCGCAAAGGCTCCCCGGGCCTAAAACACGGTACGCCGTGCCGTGGGAGTCGGCCTTTGGCCTAAGGGTGGTGGGGGAGGGATCCATTGCTCCTGTCGGGACCTCAAAAGCCTCCCCGGGTAAAACATAGTGCGCTATGCCGAGGGAGGTTGGTCTTGGGCACGAGGGTGGAAGGAGGTGAGTGCTACCGCTTAAGCCGGGACCCGTGAAATTCCCCCGGGATTAAAACACGGTACGCCGTGCCGGTGGGGATGGGTCTTTGACTCGAGGGTAGTAGGGATAGGATAGGATAGTTGGATCTCCATGAGCTTAGGCATCGTTCCCATCACTTGTGTGGGACGGGGAGCCTTTTACAGACGAGGTGTGTGGATGTGTTGGTGAGGGTTGGGCTTTCAAGGCTTGAATTTACCTTTTGATCTCTTTTGTGAGCCATTTTGGCCTTTGATTTTGATATAGTAGACTTAGATGGTTGGGAGCTCTACACTTTGATTGGGGGGTCACTTTTGGGCCACCTCTTGTATATATTTAGATAGTTGTTTTGTTTTGTTATGGCCGAAATGGCCAAGGACTTGACTTGAGCCATAGTCCACTTTTGGGGCTATGGCGTATGCTTGTAGACTCTTAGTTTTGAAATAGAATAAATGCACAGTTTATTTAAAAAAAAAAAAAAAAAGATGATTAAATGTTACGAGATTTTAAAATTAGTGAGATCAAATATGAAAAAATAAACCAGGACTATGTGGTCTAATGGTACCCGGGTTGGACTTCCATTTGGAAGATTACGAGTTCTAAAGCCTCAGTGGAGGCGTTATTGGTTCTTTGTGTTTCAATAGGTTGAGAAAGTATATGAACAGATACTACAATGTAATAGAGCCAGTAACTTTCAAAAAAAAGAAAAAAGAAAAAATAATAATCGGATATTGAGTATAAAAATTGTCTAATAATCTTAGGATCTAGTATAAAAATAAAAATAAATAAATAAATAAAGGAGTGCCGCTGCCGCTGGTCCCGGACTTGAGCCCTCCAAGATATATCAGTACACGTGCCGGTAGAACATTGAACCGTGCACCACGTGGCGTGCCGTGGTCCGGTGAAGTAGTGTGGGGCCACGTCAAGTGGGACCCTACTCCAACGAGCTTGGATCTAGATTGGAGCTCGTGCCAGCTACCTCCAATTGCTCTCAGTTTTTTTTTTCTTTTTAAATTATTATTTATTTGCCATGCCATCCCCTGTTACTCTAGTCCTTAAAAAAGTAAATTATATATATAATTTTATTCAGCATAAATAAAAGATGAATATATAAATATTTTATTTAAATTATTGTTTTAATAATAAAGCAGTAATAATTATTGTTGCATTATTTTTTATTTTTTTGGTTAAATATGTTAATATATTACTTTCTTAGGGGCGTATTCAATTATGACTTTTGTAGAGTTTTAAAGACTTTTAAAATGATAGATTTTAATAAACTTTGATTGACTTTCATAGAGTCTTTCAAAATTTTTTAAAACTTTATAAAACTCTATAAAAGTCTATATAAAAAACATTCATAGACTTTTATCAACTTTTTATTTTAAAAAGTCTACAAAAGTCATTGAAATTCTAAATTGAATACATCCTTACAAACTTTCAATTATTTTGATTCTTATCATTTATAATTTTCTTACAAAACATTTATAATATATTATAAAATTATTCTTATTATATAGTTCTTCACCCACATCAACATTATTAATTTTATCAATAGTATGTTGAGACTTATATGCTAATTACTTATAGGAATAAGGTTCAAATTGGCCACTAAACGTAACCTGAAAATGCAATTAGGCCACTGAACGAAAAAAAAAAGTGCAATTAGGCCACTGAACACTCCAAAAATGTGCAATTTCACCTGATAGCAGGTTACCCTCAATTTTAGCAGGTTATCTGCTTACGTGGCAGCTGAGTTGGCATTTTTAATAAATTTTAATAATAAATTATTATTTAAAAAAAATTTAAAAAAATAAAAACGACTTTATTTTATTTTTTATTTAATTTTTTTTCAATTTTTTATAAAATTTATTATTAAAATTAATTATTAAAAATTATTAAAAATTATTTAAAAATTATTAAAAATGCCAACTCGACTGCCACGTAAGCAGGTAACCTGCTAAACTTGATGGTAACCTGCTATCCGGTGAAATTGCATACGTTTGGAGAGTTCAGTGGCCTAATTGCACGTTTTTGAAATGTTCAGTGGCCTAATTGTACTTTTTGTTCGTTCAGTGGCCTAATTGCATTTTCAGGTTACGTTCAGTGGCCAATTTG